CTCTGGCCTTGTCTTCCCTGGGTTAGAATGACCAAAGCCAACCAAAGCCATTTGCGAGATTATAGGGTTGCTGCAATTAGGACTAAAGCCAGAGGTATGCATTGACTGGCCTTCCGGAATATTTTTTCTTTATTTCTTTCTAAAAAGTTCAAGAATAAAGGATTCATAGAACAACCCTGAAGCAAATAAAAAATGAAGCTCTGTTGCCATAATTTCCTATGTAGACACACAGATAAGATTTTGTTTCTTATGAAAATAAGATCACACTGAACTCTTTTGCACCAGGCTTTTGTTGTTGTTGTTGTTGTTGCGGCTGGGGATCCGAACCCCTGATCTTGGTGGTGTAACACCGCACTCTAACCAATTAAACTAACCAGCCAGCTCTCCTGGCTTTTTTCCCACTTAACAAAATATATGTCTATATTTTATACATCTCTAACACAGATAATATAATATAAAGGTATAATGTAAATCTATATATAATATTTGGTGGCTGGCTGGTACAGGGAAACTGAACCTTTTACTTGGTGTTACAAGGCCATGCTCTAACCAATTGAGCTAAACAACCAGTCTATGTTAAGACATATTTAAATATAATCATCTGTATATCTATCTGTGTTATAGATGTATATAAAATATAGACATATAGATATATACGTACACTTTCATATAAAAATCTATAGATACATCTATATTTTATATAATACCTGTCATATATTGTTATATAAAATTTATATGTAATACTTATATAGATGCAGACATACCTTTTTACGTTAGATTTTGTATTAATTACCTATTGCTGCATGTCAAATTGCCCCAAAACTTAACAGCTTAAAACAAGACATAAGGGCCGGCCCATGGCTCATTTGGGAGAGTGTGGTGCTGATAATACCAAGGCCGCGGGTTTGCATCCCTATATAGGGATGGCTGGTTGGCTCGCTTGGGAGAGCGTGATGCTGACAACACCAAGTGAAGGGTTAAGATCCCTTTACTGGTAATCTTTTTTTTTTAAAAAAAAAAACAAGACATTTATTGTCTCACAGTTTCTCTGAGTCAGGAATTTGGAAGCAGCATAGTTACATGGGTATAGCTCAAGTTCTGTCATGAAGTTGCAATCGAAATGTTGGCAGGCACGAATGCGATAAAAAAAAGTGTTGGCGGAGAAAAAGCATATTTGCAGGGGCCACAGTCATGGGAAGGATCAGCCTCCAAGATGGCGCACTCAATTGCTTTTGGTGGGAGGTCTCAATTCCTGGTGGGGCTCTCCTAGGACTGCTGGAGTGGACGCGTGACATACAGCTGGCTGCCCTGGTGTAAGTGATTAAAAAGAATGAGCACAGCCAAAAAATAAAGCAGCCTGGCCAGTTAGCTTCATTGATTAGAGCACAGTGTTATAGCACCAAGGTCAAGGGTTCAGATCCCCATACCAGCCAGCCACAAAACAAACAAACAAAAAATGAGCACAGTAGAGGCTGCTGTAATTCGCATCACCTCTATTTTCCTATTTGTTAGAAGCGAAAAAAGCTTAGCACACACTCTAAGGGAGGGGAATTAGGCTCTACCTTTTTTTTTTTTTTTTTTTTTTTTCTTTTTTGTCTTAAGCATGCCTAACCCAGTTTTTTGGAAGGTCGGCATCAAAGCTGAACTGAACACTAACAGACGGTAGCTGAGCCAAGGGGAGGGGACTGCAGGGATGTGGGGTCTGAGATTGTGAAATCTTTACAGGCTCCAGTATGGGGACAGATTATGTGCCAGGGGTGAAGGTGTGTCACCTGTGGTCCCATGAAAGGAGATGTCTCCCTTAGTGTTGCAATTCTCGCTGCTGAGGGCTTGGAGACAGTTGGTGAAATCTTGTGACCTCAAGGACATTGCTCTCTTTCTCACTTATAGAAGAGGTTTGGGGCCTGTAATTTACAGGAAAAAGAGATGTCTGACGATATGCATGTGCAGAGGAGCTGGATGGGAGGAGGAAGTCATGGCTGTGCATTCATGAGCCTGGAGGAGAGGTTTCTAAGTGTGTTCCTTCTGCTCCTTCTGGCCGTGGGTCACCTTCAGCTATGAACCGCTCCCTCTGCTGTCTTAAATCTTGGCATTAATTTAAGTGGAGACTACAGTTCTTCATTCTGGCCAAGGATGGGGTGAGCTGGAGCCTCATAACTAAATCCATCATGGGTCTTTAAGCCTTTCTTGTATGTGGTTTCCCCTACAGTGTACTTTTTCCCAGATGCTCCGTAAATCTTTTTTTTTGGCAGCTGTCCGGTAAGGAGATCCGAACCCTTGAACTTGGTGTTTGTTAGTTACAACATCGCACTCTAATCAACTGAGATAAGCCCATAAATTTTTGAAGCTTCCTTGTTTGCTTTAAAGAACTGATGCGTTCTAATGTATGTAGTCTTTCACCTCGAGGACTTTTTTTTTTTTTTTCCTTTTTGTCTTTTTTCGTGACCGGCAACGGGATCACACCCCTCGGTGTCGCACCCGCACTGCGCTCAACCAGTGAGCGGACCGGTCTCTATATGGGATCCGAACCCTCGGCGGGAGCGCCACCGTGCTCCCAAGCGCCACACTCTACCGAGTGCGCCACCAGGCTGGCCCACCTCGAGGACTTTCAAAATCACCTTTATACACTAAGGTCAAGGGTTCGAATCCCCTTACTGGCCAGACATCCCCCCTGGCCCACCTCGAGGACTTTTAAAATCACCTTTATACACTAAGGTCAAGGGTTCGAATCCCCTTACTGGCCAGACATCCCCCCGCAGAAAATCACCTTTATACACTAAGGTCAAGGGTTCGAATCCCCTTACTGGCCAGACATCCCCCCGCAGAAAATCACCTTTATATTTTGGAATAGTACTAGATTTATAGAAAAGTTGCGAAGATATTGCAGAGAATTCTTACATACCCTCATACAGTTTTCCCCATTGTTAACATCTTACATAACTATGGCTCATTTGTCAAAACTAAGAGATTAACTCTAGACTTTATTTGGATTTCACCAATTTTTCCTGTAATGGCCCTTTCTGTTCCAAGATGCAATCTGGTATTCTATATTACATTTAGCCCTAAAGTTGTTTTTTTTTTGGCAGCTGGCTGTTATGGGGATCCAAACCCTTGATGTTGGTGTTGTCAGCACCACACTTTAACCAAGTGAGCTAATTAGCCAGCCCCTACCCCTAAAGTCTTTTGATCATAGTTTTAAGCAACTGGTCTCCAAACTCTGTTAATAAAAACCCGCAAAGATACGCAGGACAATGTGCATAGGTTATATGCAAATACAAACCTATTTTATATCAGGGACTTAGGCATCATCAGATTTTGGTATCCTTGGGGAGTTCTGGAACATATCCCCCATGAATACTAAGGGACGAGTGTATAAAACACAGGTTGTAAGATATTGACCCTTCAAGATCCAGAACTAAGAAAGGGAGGCTTCTCTCCTGGGGCAGGTAGAATCATTAAAGTATCTACACTCTTCTGCTCTTTTTGTCTGGAAAGTTCTTCCAGGAATGGAATAACTTTCTGGAGATGTGGTGTCGGCTTCAAGTATCATGCATTTATTAATTACCTTTGTGCAAAATGAGCTGATGACTAAATTTTGCACAAGCCATTAAATGATTTTTGTATGGCTAACATTAAAAATTGATGAAAGAAAAAAACATTCTTAATCTTCTTAAGAGGATAATGAAACATATAGTAAATTTAGCCTTTGACCAAAACTTATATTTTATGTAGTGTTTGCCTAGAAAACATCTGACACATGTGGATGACAGTAAAAAGGCAGATTCTGCTAGTTTCTTCTTCTTCTTCTTCTTCTTCTTTTTTTTTTTTTTGGTCTTATTACTTTATTCAAAAAGTGTGCTGAAATAAGCAGTCCTAATTTGTTATTGGCACTATTGTTTTAGTTTACATATAGAATCAGAGTTTATTGATTTGCAAAGTTTCTTTGATTCCAGTTCACACTTAACACCACATTCTAAACCAAAACTTAATATCTAAAACCAAATGCAGTCAATAGTATCTTGATCTCTTTTCCAAAGTTCAAGAATCATATATTTTAGAAAATTTCCCAGTTTGTTCTCATTTTTATCCAAAAATTCAAATTGTAGGAAAAGTTTTCTCTTATTACGTCTTTTGTTACTGTTTCTGTTTTTTTTTTTTTTTTTTTTTTTTTTTTTTTGTCTTTTTCCGTGTCTGGCAACGAATCTCAACCCTCAGTGTTGCCCCCGGACCGGGACCGGCAACGGGATCGCAACCCTCGGTGTTGCCCCCGCGCCTCGCTCAGCCAGTGAGTGGGAACCGGTCCGTATGTGGGATCCAAACCCTCGGTGGGAGCGCCGCCGCGCTTCCCAAGCGGTGCACTAGCGCAGTGTGCCACCGGGGTGGCCCCTGTTTTTGTTTTTTTCTTAAATCTGATCTCCAGATATACAATTATCTTCGCTGCTTGCCACCGGGCTGGCCCCTGTTTTTGTTTTTTTCTTAAATCTGATCTCCAGATATACAATTATCTTCGCTGCTGGATCTTAGTTTTCTGGCTTCTGCATTTATAATTTCTGATAATTATTTTTTCTCTTCATATTTTCTCTCTATCTACTAGATAAAACTCCTCAAATTTTTTCACCTTAGTGATTGCACTGGGTCAGTTTTCCTCATGACCATGTTTAATACACCAGATAATTTTCATTTCTTACTAAGGTGCACGGAAGTTCTAATATTTTGTTTCTGTACTTCAGCAGATCTATACTCTGGATTCAATAGCCAAGATGTCAAAGCCTTAAACATTGTTGCCAAGTCTCTCTTGGGTTTATTCTTTTATCCTCCACTATACTTCTGGGTTCATGAAATTTCATTGATTGTGTGTGTTTTGTTTCCTGAGACTCAGGCTGTTACTGACAGGAATACATTCCTGGTTCATCCTTTAGCTGGCAAGAAATACACATGGGAAGCATGGTCGGTTTCTGATTCTAGTACTGAGGAGCCTCCTTCCTCTTTTCTTCTCTCAGTGGAAGATAAGTGTGGGAGAAATGAGTTCCAGTGCCAGGACGGGAAATGCATCTCCTACAAGTGGGTTTGCGATGGCAGCTCTGAGTGCCAGGATGGCTCTGATGAGTCTCAGCAGACATGCAGTGAGTTCCCTTTGGGTGGGACCTTTTTTGATAATGGTGGGTGGAAAAGTGGCCAGTGGATTGATGTGTTCAACCACAAATTGGGTAGTGGGGAGAGGACATATTACTGGGACTTTCCTTCAATGGTTGTTGTTTTTCCAATTGAAGTGAAATTCACCTAACATGAAATTAACCAGCTCAGTAGTATTAATACATTCAGGATGCTATGCAGCCACCACCTCTATATCACTCCCCAAACCTTTACATCACCTGATGTCTAGTTTTTAACAAGCTCCACTAAATGCCTTTCTTATTCACCCATAAAGGTGGGATGGGCATCCTCTTTCTTGAAAGTTCTGGGCTTTTCCTTTGCAAAGATGGGACTGGTGCGGACCACTCGTCTTCCCTCTAAGTTACAGCTCAATCCCATTTCTCCTGTAGTGTCTGTCACGTGCAAATCGGGGGACTTCAGCTGTGGGGGCCGTGTCAACCGCTGCATTCCTCAGTTCTGGAGATGTGATGGTCAAGTGGACTGTGAGAACGGCTCGGATGAGCAAAGCTGTCGTAAGTGGCCTGGAAGTCTGCACCCCTCGGGGCCTTGTCCCAGTCTGGCCTGTGCTAATGATGCACCAGAGCTCTGGGGTGTGGACAGACTTTGTCCCCCAGGTGGCCCTGCCCGAGCTCCATTTTGGCTACTCCTCACTGGGCTCCACCTCCTGGGGGCTCGTACCAAGCCCCCTCCCACCCCTCAATCCCACCTTGACCAGGAGGCATTGCAGTGGGGGTGGACAGTGCCTCTTCTTAGGGTTGTCATGCCAGGTGCCTGCCACCCATGAGGCTGAGTGCGTCGTGAGTGCTCCCTGGCCCAATCTCAGTGACCCAACTAACCACCGAGAAGAAAAAGTCTTTACCGAGCTAGAGAGTTCCGCTAAAAGTCAAGGCCAGGAGTCCTAGAGGGAAATGCACTTTGTAGCTGGGAGTCTTCTTGGCTTTTTTTTTTTTTTTTTCCTTTTTGTCTTTTTTCGTGACCGGCAACGGATCGCAACCCTCAGTGTCGTGCCCGTACCGGACCGGGACCGGCAACAGGATCGCAACCCTCGGTGTTGCCCCCGCACCTCGCTCAGCCAGTGAGCGGGAACCGGTCTGTATGTGGGATCCGAACCCTCGGCGGGAGCGCTGCCACACTTCCCAAGCGGCGCACTGTAGCAGTGCGCCACCGGGCCGGCTTGTTCTTGGCTTTTTTAATAATAATGACAGCAAACCTGTCAATAATGGTACCATCATGCTGGTAAAGCCTATGAGTTATATAGCTATTAACTGCCCCATTCTCATAGCAATGCCAGGAGGCATGCACAGATGAGGAAACTGAGGCACAGAGGGGCAGCGGTTCAGAGTCCGGGGGTCTGCTAACTGGGGCCTCTATGTGGCACTGTGTTCCTGTCTATAGAACGGGCTGGTGTTGGGGCTCTGCAGTGACAGTGTGGCCTCCTCCCATGTCCCCACAGCCCCTAAGACGTGCTCCCAGGACGAGTTCCAGTGCCATGATGGCAAGTGCATCTCACGGCAGTTTGTCTGCGACCTGGACCGGGACTGCCTGGATGGCTCCGATGAGGTCTCCTGCCCAGTAACCACCTGCGGCCCTGTCAGCTTCCAGTGTAACAGCTCCGTCTGCATCCCTGAGCTGTGGGCCTGCGATGGTGAACACGACTGCGAGGACGGCTCCGATGAGTGGCCACAGAACTGCGGAGGCCGTGACACGTCTGCCACCCAAGGAGACAATGGCCCCTGCTCTGCCCATGAGTTCCACTGTGGCAGCGGCGAATGCATCCATGCCAGTTGGCACTGCGACGGTGGCCCCGACTGCAAGGACAAGTCTGACGAGGAGGACTGTGGTACGGGTGGGGATGGGGGGTCCCGTCACCTGTCCCCAGGCTCCCTGGGTGGGAAACAGGCAGTGACTTTAAGTACTTAAATGATTTCCAATCATGAAGCAAGAGAGTCAGTCCCATTTTGTGTTTCTTCCAGTCTTTCTGATTACATAGAGGAAACAGCAGCCCCAAAATAGACTCTTTTTCCAGCATTTTTTCCTCTCCAACTGAGCACTTGAAAATACAGTGTTCCAAAATCTTGGATTTTTTTTTAAAGGGGGGGACGGTCGGTTATTCTGCCTTCACATTTATTATAGGTTGAGTATTCCCAATCCAAAAATCCAAAATCTGAAACTTTTTGAGCACCAGCAGAATGCTCAAAGGAGATGCTCATTGGAGCACTTCGGATTTTGGATTTTCTGATTAAGGATGTTAAACTCTTAAGTATAATGTGCATATTCCAAAATCTGAGAAAACCCCAACTCCAAAACACTTCAGATACGGGACACTCACCCAAGCATTTCAGATAAGGGATACTCTCCTGTATCTCTTTTCACTAACATACTGAAATCAAACTTTTTAATTATATGTGTATTTTTTGGCAGCTGGCCGGTATAGGAACCTAAACCTAGACCTTGGTGTTATCAGTACCACACTCTAACCACCTGAGCTAACCAGCCAGCTCATGTATTACCTTTATTTTTATTTTTTTTTTTTTGGTCTTTTTTGTGACTGGTAAGGGGATTGCAACCCTTGGCTTGGTGTCGCCCGCACTGCGCTCAGCCAGTGAGCTCACCGGCCATCCCTATATAGGATCTTAACCCGTGACGGGAGCTCCGCTGCTCAAAGAAGCACCACTTTTTTGCGCTTAGGAGATGAGCCAGATCTTCTGCTGGGTCAAGAAGCCCCGGTGTGTTTTGCCATCTCTACAGCTTCCCCATCCACACGGCCGCCCCTGATGCCCAAGGCTTCTGTTGGCCTGTTGGGAAATTGCTGCTTGGAAGGTGCTAGTTCTTTTTCTCTGGTTGCCTCTCCTTGAGAGAATCAGCACACTCTGTCTTTCCCAGTTGTGGCCACCTGCCGCCCTGATGAATTCCAGTGCTTAGATGGGACGTGCATCCACGGCAGCCGGCAGTGTGACCGGGAGTACGACTGCAACGACATGAGTGATGAGCTTGCCTGCAACAACGGTGAGCCCTGGTCACCTGGCCTCCTGTCCTTATCTTTCAGTGTTTGCAAATGCTCCGTAGAGTCAGGGGACAGTGGGTCCCCGGTGAGGGAGGGTGTTTCCCTGGGTCAGCTGTGAATCCTTGGGCAAGTTACTTGACTACTCTGGGCCTCACTTCCGCTTATCTGAAAAATGTGCATAATGACACCACCAACTTCAGGACTGGGAGATTTAATAAAGTCGCTGTGTGTAGAGCTCAAGTCTTTAAACTCGTAGTTGTGTGTGCAGTCTAATTCCATGCAAAGCACATTCCTGAATTCATAACACAGCAGTTCCACTTCTGGGAAAGTGCTCAGGTGACAGTCACACCCATGCTCCAGAGAGGGACTGTGAGCAGCCCCTAAGAGCAAAACCTAATAGCAAAACTCTGGAAGCAACTAAAGACTCACCAGTGTAGAATTAATTTAATTTTATTATTATTTATTTTATTTTATTTATTTATTTTTTTAAAAGATGACCGGTAAGGGGATCTCAACCCTTGGCTTGTTGTTGTCAGCACCAGGCTCAGCCAGTGAGCCAACTGGCCATCCCTATATAGGATCCGAACCCGTGGCCTTGGTGTTATCAGCACCGCACTCTACCGAGTGAGCCACGGGCCGGCCTTAGAATTAATTTTAAAAACTTTTTTTATTTGTGGCAAAATACATGTAACATAAAATTACTATCTTAGTCTTGTTTTTTTTTGTGGCTGGCCAGTATTGGGATCCAAACACTTGACCTTGGTGTTATAACACCACACTCTAACCAAGTGAGCTTACCAGCCAGCCCCTTCATCATTTTTTTTTTTTTTTTTTTTTTTTTTTTTTTTT